AAATGGAGAAGTAATGATTGAATTGTGTAAGGAAGAAGTAAAGGAAGAGACAAGGAAATGGAAGCAAGCGTTGATCCTTTATGTTGTTGGAACAACTCCAACAATAGGAGCTATGGAACGGTTTATTGCCTCGGCATGGAATTTTACACTAAGCCAAAGGTCTACTATCACAATGAGGAATATTTTGTAGTAAGATTTAACTCCATAGAAGACAGAGATGAAGTATTATACTCAGGGTCACATATGCTGGGTACTAAGCCAATAATCATGAAGCCTTGGTCAGAAAAGTTTGATTTTAGTAAGGACGTTCTGCAAACTATTCCTGTGTGGGTAAAATTTCCTAACCTTCCATTGAATTGTTGGGGAGCTAAGTTTCTAAGCAGGATAAGTAGTGGATTAGGGGTTCCACTATATGCAGATGCTTGTACTATTCAATTGGAACGAATCACATATGCTAGAGTGTATTGAGACGGATATAACCAAAGAGCTTCCTAAGGCCATTAAGGTGACAAATCCAACCGGAAGAGAATTTGTCCAAGGAGTAGCTTATGATTGGGTTTCGTAATTTTGTCAAGTTTGTATGCAAGTTGGACACAAATGTGGTAAAGATGAGCAACCTATGCAGAAGACTAAGCCCAAGTAGCAAAAGCAGAAACAAGAATGGCAACCTAAAGATAGAAATAGCGACAAGGTGGAGCAAAAAGATGTAGCACCTGCAAAAAGGAGTCAAGTAGTAAGGGGCGATGAGGAAACTAGTAAACCTGCTCAATCAACTGTAAGGATAGCTAGAGGAGAGGAGGAGCAGAATTGGAGAAAAGCCACATGGAAATCAATAGCTCGAAGCAAGAAAAAAGCAGGGGAGGGTTCAATCAGCATCATAAATGGGTTCAATATATTAGTAGAATCTGGATTGCAGCTCATAAACCCAAGGCAATTACGTGAAGGCTCGAGTAGGCACAGAGGTCAAGCTGGTAACGTGGAACATTAGGGGTCTGAATAAGCTTCCTAGGCAGAAGGAGGTCAAGAGGTACATAAGAAGCAATAAAGTAAATATGATAGCAATACTTGAACATAAAATAAAGGAGCAGAAGGTTGATCAAATAATAAGGAAAATCACTATAGGGTGGCACTGGCTAGCAAACTATGAGCACAACAGCAAAGGGAGAATTTGGTTATTATGGGATGCTAATGAGATAGAATGTCTGGTGATGGGGAAGTCTTCCCAACTTATTCATGTTGCAGTTCACATCAAAAGCATGAATATGAGGTTTGAATTCATTGCAGTCTATGGCTTGCATACACTGGATGATAGGAGACATCTATGGAGAGACTTAGCATATATTAACAATAGACAGCAAATACCATGGTTAATCATGGGTGATTATAATGCCATAAGATCTGGGGAGGATAGACCAATTGGTATTCATGTCCAAGATGTGTAGGTGAAAGACTTTAATAGCTTTATAGATGATACTGGTTTGGTTGAAATGAGACTAAGGGAAGAAATTTCACATGGACATTTAGGCACACATATAGCAGGATAGATAGAGCATTGGTTAATGCAGAGTGGATACTGAAAATGCCTTACTTAGTGGGTAATGGATCCAGGATGTTCTGATCATTCACCTTTGAGTGTTACACTTAAAGGAAAGGAAGAGATAGTCCCCAAGCCTTTCAAGTTCTTGAATCATCTAGCTGAACATAAAGATTTTTTAAAGATAGTCAAAGGAGCATGGAAAGGGAATAATGAAGATATGTAATGAAAGATGTATGGAATAAATTGAAAAAGGTGAAACAAGCTATGAAAGAATTAAATACTAAAGAGTACAATGCTGTAGGGGATAAGATTGCAGACTGTAGGAAGCAACTATGTAAAATGCAGGAACAAATGAGGAATCCTAGACAGCCCGAGAACATGGTTATAGCAGAAAAGGAATTAAAGATGCAACTGGAGAAATGCTGAGGGTGGAGGAAAGTATCATGAAGCCAAAATCGAGAGTAAAATGGCTAAAGATAGGTGATGATAACACTGCATACTTCTATGCAAGCATGAAGAGTAGATATTCCCAGAACAAGATTAAGAGCTTAACAAGAAGCAATGGGGAAGTAATACAGACAAACTAGGATATTGAAGAGGAAGTAATTGGGTTTTATAAACAACTAGTGGGATCAACAGCTGAACGACTTCCTACTATCAATCCAGTGATCATGAGAGAAGGTCCAATGGTAAACAGACAACAGTAGCTGCAGTTGACAACAACAGTATCTGAGGAAGAAATACACAGGGCTCTAATGGGGATCAGTGATAGCAAAGCACCTGGATGCGATGGATTCAATGCACTCTTCTTCAAGAAAGCATGGTCTGTGGTTGGGGATAAGATAACTGAAGCAGTACTGGATTTTTTCTCAAAAGACAATTTGCACCAGCCTATCAATAGTACAACAGTGACATTGGTTCCTAAGTTACCAAATCCATCTAGAGTTACTGATTTCAGACTAATTTCTTACTGCACTCTCATCTATAAAATCATATCGAAGGTGTTAACTAATAGATTGCAAGATATAATGGATGACATAGTAGATAAAAGCCAATCCACATTTGTCCCGGGGAGATTGATCAGTGATAACATAATAATGAGCCATGAGCTTGTTAAAGGATATGGTAGAAAAGATATATCACCTAGATGCATGCTGAAAGTGGATATGAAGAAAGCCTACGACTCTATTGAATGGAATTACATGGAGCAAGTGCTGAGGAATCTGCAAATGCCAGGGAAGTTTGTAAAGTGGATTATGAGATGTGCGAGGACTGTCTCATATTCCATCATTATAAATGGGCGGCATTCAGTACCTTTCAAAGCTAAAAAGGGGTTGAGACAAGGTGAACCATTGTCTCCGTACTTATTTGTATTGGCTATGGAGTATTTTACTAGGCTGCTTAAGACATTAAAGAGGAACCCAGATTTCAACTTTCACCCTAAGTGTGCCAAGATGAGCATAATTCAACTAATTTTGCTGATGATTTGCTACTATTCTGTCGAGGTGATACTATATTAGTAAAGCTATTGTATCAATGTTTTCAAGAGTTCTCACAAGCATCAGGATTAGTGGCCAACAATGACAAAAGTTCAATCTATTTTGGAGGAGTCAGAGATGATATCCAGCAGGAAATTCTGCAAATATTGGGTTTCTCCAAGGGGATTCTTCCAGTGAGATATTTGGGGGTACCCTTGAGTACTAAAAGGATGTCATTACTGCAATGTCAACCACTTCTTGAGAAAATGACAGGAAGAATTCAATCTTGGACTACTAAGTTCCTATCTTATGCAGGAAGAGTCCAACTTATTAGAAGTGTGTTACTCTCCATCCAAGTGTATTGGTCTCATATATTCTTATTACCCAAGAAACTAATCCATTTGATTGAAAGTATGTGTAGAAGATTCTTATGGACAGGAAGTGTTGAGGCTACAAGGAAAGCACCCATAGCCTAGGACAGATTATGTTGGCCAAAAGCAGCAGGTGAATTGAATTTGATGGACATAGGCTTATGGAATAAAGCTGCCATATGCAAGTTATTGTGGAATTTATGCAAGAAGAAAGACAAAATGTGGGTGCAATGAGTTCATGTGTACTATAAGAAATATAATCCAAGGTGGGGAGATAAGCCAAAGCAATCATCTTGGGTGGTTCAGAAGATTTTTAAAGCCAAGAAATACTTTGAAGAAGCTGGGTATACAGAGGAAGATGTGCTTAGACTGGAAACATTCCCGACCAAAACTATGTATCTGAAGCAAAAATGACAATTTAGCAAAGTTTCATGGAGAAGACTTATTTGTAACAATATTGGACTACCCAAGTGGATATTCATCATGTTTCTGGTTGCTCATAGGAGACTCCAAACAAGAGAAAGGTTGAAAAGACGGGGCTGTGTAGAAGATGATACGTGCCCACTATGCAACACAGAAGTAGAGACTACTGGTCATCTCTTCTTTACATGTTCATTCTCTACGCAAATATGGACTGCTATGCCGGAATGGCTGAGGATCTATAGACAAGTGATGACATGGGAGCATGAGCTGAAATGGGCTGAGCAACACTGCCATGGAAGAAGTGCAAATGTTGAAATATACAGGATGATGCTAGCTGGGAGCATATACTACATATGGCAAGAGAGGAATGCAAGAATTTTTCAGGCAACGCAAAGAAATGCTGAAACTATTACTAGATTACTAGCACAAGATCTGCATTGTAGAGGGAATGTGAAGCAACGATTGAAGGGAAGATTACTAGAATTGAATTACTATCCTATTGTTCATTGAAATGTATAGAAAATTGTTTTAGGAGGAATAGAGATACAGAAGAAATAGCTTAGTCTGGGGCTTATGTCCAGAACAAGCTATAGTAAGAAACTGCGTGTAAAATATTACTTGGTAATAAAATTGTTTATTACCAAAAAAAAAAAAATTCTGGTGCAGGGCTAGGGGTGGCAAAATGGTTCAAAGAAAATAGTTAACCACCCATATTATCCATTAAAAAATGGGTTGGTTAATGAACTATTTAAAAATGGGTCAAATATGGATAAAAACCATATTATCCATTTAGAAAATGGATAACCAACGAATCTAACTTTTACATTTGTAAATCCTCAAATTGTGAGTTCTTCAAGTTAGGGTGACTAAGAATTCTTCCAAAAGTGATCATATGCAAGAAGTCATGGATAATATGGTTACCCATATTATCCGTCGGTTAACCCGTTTTTTATCCGTATTAAATATAGGCCGGATCGGATAATTTACCCATTTTTTCATTACCCATTTTTGAACCGAACCATATCCGACCCGACCTACCCGTTTGCCACTCCTATACAGGGCTATTTTTAAAAAACTGTGCTTAGTTGATCAAAAATTAAAAGGTGGCACTAGTCCTATTTGTGCAAATCTCCCTTTAGTATTGGCCCAAGTCTGACCGACGTGCCAAATTCAATGGACTCAGACAGCTAATTGCTTCCAATTCGCAAATTTCACCAAAGGGTCCTAACCAACTCTCTAGGGTTTCTCAGTCGAACCGCATTGTGAAACGGACGAGTAAAATCGAGACCATAGAGATTAAGCCAAATTCGGCGGTTTCCGATGGATCTAGAGGTGGTGGGCCGCCATGCCCTCCTATTCGACGACGACGCCATGGCGGCGTTCGTCAACTCCAGCGACGCTCTAGTCGAATGGAACTCTCTCCAAATTGATCGTTATGATGTCCGCCACCTTCTCTCCGCACCTCCACCTTCCCGCCGACGGTCTCACTCTTCTACGTCTTCGAATCTCGTCGATGCTTCGATTCAGTTCGAGCTCGATCATGAACGTTACCTCGATCTTCCTTCGCCTTCAGATGAACCAGGTATACTTAACTCTTGTAGTCTTGTTTCCTTCTTTTTTTATTCTACCATTGCGTGTATAATTTTTCATGTATTGTATTATTTTTAATTTAGCGTTAGTAATCAGGAAGCTAACAATCCGATAAAACGTAATGATTCGCTAGCTGATTTTAATATTATCAAGTGGTTTATTGTGCTAAATAAGTTTCAATTATCCTGATGTGTGCTCATTGTGTTAGATTCATTTCTCTTGTGCAATACATATATTTATGCTAAGTTTGTAAACTTAATATGCTGGATCTGCATCCGTAATAGTTTGTTGCGGTAGCTATATTTGATGCTTCTAAATAGGATTTGCTATGCATGGACTTCCCAGGGAAAAAAAGGATTTGCTTGCTGTAGTATGACATCGCGAAACATAAAATAGTATTATAAAACAATCTTGTTGTATAGTTGAGGGTTCCTCCGCACCTGTCATTGGTTTTCTGGTCGCCTTGGAAACTTCCTCTGATGGTACGCCTTTCTGTTTTAAATAATATTCACTTGCAACTTCAAGGGGACAGCTGAGAATACGATTTATTGTTATGGAAATAATGTTGTTAGCAAATGTTTTTATAGGCAGGCAGTGCTTCCTAGAGGTAATATTTTGGTGTTGGCGTGTCTTAAAATAAGGTAGATTGAGGAAATGTAGCATGCTGGCTGCCTAGTTAGTGGCTGTAAAATGTTCTTTTTGCAACGTGTTTTTAGTTACTGGACCTTTTAATTACACATTTTCTGTATCTCACAATGAGTAAGATCATCTTTACTTATCCATGCAAGTATCATTATTTTAACCTAATCTTGTTCTGTCTGGATTCTTTTTCCTGTAGCTTTGCGTTAGTTATGTTGCTCTTGGTCTTGGATAATACGTCAATATTAATATGATTTAATGATTTCTTCCTTCAGGAGTGGAAGAAGACGAAAAGTCGGTGGATGCTGGTGCTTATCGTGCTGTTGGTTTCTCATATGGACATACTGATGATTCTGCTGACAGAAAAAGTTCTGAGGCGGGCCAGGAAAGCTCCGAGTTTCGTCCCTCCTTTCCAGTGCCGGAAGGCCTACTTCAATGCTTGGTAAGCTTATGCTCTTCGATTTGGTTTTTTGTCTGCTTTCATGAAGCTTGGATATTGTGTTTACATGCTAACGAGGTTTTCCCCATGTGGCCAATGCTACTAGTTGTCTAAAGCTTATGTTATTCTAAGGCTCACCATGTCTAAGTTTTCAGATGCTCGGAGCAGGGATGGAGTTCTTTTCATCTAAGGTTGCCATTCACAGGCACCTTGTTCCCTTTTGATGCACGACCAAGGGGCAGTGCAGGTGGGATTAGGAATATTAAGAAGTTATCTTTATAAGGACAATTCGTTGCTAGTTGAGAGGGATCTTCTCTTAATTTACTTAATATTGCTCTTTTAATTTCACTAATGGGCACACATTTTTGTGGATTGGTATGTTTGAAGCTTTGATTGTATCTAAGGTTCTAGCTTATTTTTTATCCAGGATTGTGAATTCTACATTTTAATGGGCTCTTTGTTGCTTTTGGTGCTTTCTATCTTCTTGCAGCCACCAACAGAAAAGGTACATCAGATAATTGCAAGGACTGCGCTGTTTGTGAGCAAACACGGTGGGCAGTCAGAAATTGTTCTGAGGGTAAAGCAGGGAGACAATCCAACATTTGGGTTCTTAATGCCTGACCACGATCTTCATGCATACTTTAGGTTTCTTGTTGATCACCCTGAACTTTTACAACCTGGTAGTGATGTGAAAGCTCAAAATGAAGGAGGAAAGGATTCCGATGAGCAGAAGGAACATGATGGTCGTGGAGGTGCTTTATCTTTGCTTGGTTCTGTATATGAGTCCGGAGAGGACGAGGAGCTTGCGAATGGGGATGATCCTGGACCCAAAGTTACCAGTGCAACACTTGATACCTTGAGTGCCACAAATGTTTCCAGTCCTCTTGAAAGGGCTGATAGTTCCAAGGAATTTGAAAACGATGAGAAAGAAAAAGACGAGAGAGTTTCTACAAATTCACTTCGTTCTAGTAAAGATAAAGAAAAGGCTACTGCACTGAAAAAGAATAATTTGATTAATGCTTCCAAGAGCGGAATTAGAAGTAGTATGCGGAAAGAAGATGACGGTGGTTCTTCTGCTGCATCTAGAAAGACAAAGGCAGAGGTGTCTGGTCTAGGAGCGGTGTCGAAGACTTTACCTTTGGTGGAGCCTCCATCTGATCTGAAGAAATTGATTAATAAGATTGTGGAGTTCATTCTGAAGAATGGTAAGCAGTTTGAGTCAACTCTTATGGAACAGGACAGCAAACATGGCAGATTCCCATTTCTCCTCCCAACCAACCAATATCATCCTTACTATCTAAAAATACTCCAGAAAGCTCAAGAGGTGAAAGCTCTCTCTCTGTCTGGGAAAAACATGTGTTGTCCTGCAGTCACATGGTTGAAGTTTTTGTATAAACTTAAATTTCAGCATATTAGTTTATTTTCCTGAACTTATAGCACTTGCTTCTTTCACAATGTATTAACACAAAAAACCAATGAGCAGTATTTTTCTGTGGTTTTGGCATATTGGTGTAGCTGATGCATGCGAAACTGGTTATACTACTTTCCCTTTGGATAGGGAGTGTGTGGAATTGCTTTAACATTGTGGCTTTTGCTCTTCTCTTTGTTGTGCAGTCAAAAGTCCATGGATCAGAAAAAAGAGCTTCTTTGAAGGAAAGTGATTCTCCCTCCAGGTCTGCCGGGTATGATCTGCCATATGTATCTGATAAGAAAGAGAAGTTTAAAATGGTGATTGGTAAATCCAAGAAGGAAATGCAGGACTCCCTGACCAGAACTTCAGAGCAAGAGGTTGGAGTCAATGTGGACGCTGCTGCTGCTGCCGCTATCCTTCACGCAGCCACCAGAGGTATCAAGAATCCCAATTTGAATATCATCTCAGGCTCATCTAAGAATGGTGATAGTCAGGGTCACAGCAGTGAGGGTGGCCAAGCCTCATGTTTCCTCAATGTCCCTCCATTTGGTCAGAGGTCTGACCAGAGGATGAAAAATAGTGTTTTGCTTCCAAAAGCGAAGGAAATCGCAAAATCTGCTGCTGCGGAAGCTGCGAGTGAGGCAGACTCCTCTGAAGCACACTTGAGCAAAGAGCAGAAGCTGAAAGCAGAGAGGCTGAGAAGGGCAAAGATGTTTGTGGCCCTGTTAAAAGGTGGAGCAGCTCCTGTCAAAAGAGATTCTTCACATGGAGGGTTAGTGGAACCACAGGAATCTGCCTTGTCAGGTTCCGGCACAGAGGTTAATGCTGCTGCTCTAGAAAGAGAAGGCAGTGCAGCACCTTCAGAATTGACTGCTCTAGGGAGAGAAAGCAGTGCAGCTCCGTCAGAACTGACTGCTCTAGAGAGAGAAGGCAGTGCAGCTCCATTAATTAATAATGTGTCGAATGAAAATGAGAAATCTGAAATAAAACATAATGCTGAAGAGAATGAGCGGCGATCAAGAAGGAAATACCGGTCAAGATCTGATAGACCTGAAGAGGAGGATGAAGAAGAAGAGGGAGAGGGAGAGGGAGAGGGAGAGGAGGAGGGGCAGCGGTCCAGGAAGAAGCACCGCTCTTCAAGAGAAGATGAAGAGGAAGAAAGTGGAGAGGTAAGGGATGATCGACGATCCAAAAAAAAGAAGCATTCACGACGTCGTAGACACAAAGATAGTGGCAATGCATATGAGGATGAAGATGATGAAGATAAACGATCAAGAAAGAAGCACCGCAGGCGGCATTCATCGCCTGAATATGATGAAGATGATAAACGATCAAGAAAGAAGCCCCGCAGACGGCATTCATCCCCTGAAGATGATGATGATGATGAAGATGATAAACGATCAAGAAAGAAGCACCGCAGACGGCATTCATCCCCTGAATATGATGATGATGAGCGAAGAGATGCCGAGAGACATCATAAGCATGGAAGGAAAAAGCATTCAAGTCATCAGTCTTCACGTGAAAATAGGAAAGATGATTATGAGGAGGATTATAAGCATTCCAAGAAGAAACATAGATCTCATAGAACCTCCCACCGTAGTAGAGAGAAACTCAAACACAGGCCAAAGCATTCCAGTGATGATGAGTCTGAACATGAGCATAAGCGCCCGAACTCTTCAGATGATGAAAAGCAGCGCTATGGCAGGGCCGATAAGAATGAAAATGGGACCAGAGAAAGAGAAGAACTGGAAGAGGGTGAGATCGGTACCAAAGTGTCAGATCAATCAAGAGGAAGTCTGGGAGGTTCCGTCAGCAGAGAAGCTTCAGTGGATGTATCTAGTTCCCATCAAAGAGCAGCATCTCAGCAGTCTGAATCTACTGAGATATCAGATGATCTTCGGGCTAAAATCCGTGCAATGTTAATGGCAACTAGGAAATAGTTGATGAACTGCCAATATTGGTACATTACCTTGAGAACCCCTTGCAGTGTAAAGGGCATTGTAAAAGTCATTGTTGAATCTTGATATACTATTAATCTTGATTTTCATGCTCCTCCTTGCTATTTAAATTTCTGCCTCTTCTGTGTTACCTTCCTATATTTTTAGTTGAAGAATGGATTCAGTTTCAGGGAACTCTCCCTACTTTTCCTCGCTATGCCGATTGAATATCTGAGTTCTCTCAAGTTCTTTCACAATTACATTGAGTTGATTCATCTGATTAGAATTTTTCATAAATTGAACGTCGCCTGCGTATAATTATCAAGAGATGTAGTGAGATGAATGAGATCACCTTGACCTTTAACCAAAGTTCTCGGGCTCGAGTCATGAGAAAGGATATTCCTAGAAAGAAGCACTTCCCCTATGTAACCCGAATTTGGATTAGTTCGACCAGTGGATTTTGAATATCAACATAAAAATGTACACTAATAAGTAACATGGTAACCGAATAAATATATAGTTTAGTGTAAAAAAATTATGTTGTTAGTCTATTTAAGTAAAATCCTGCGCTAGTTGGACGATAACATTATCAAGTTATATGATATCAAGTCTCCAATTGAAAAAGATTAGTTCATCACTTGCGTGTTATTTCAACTCTAAAATAATTCGGACATGAGTGTCGACAATATTTTTTAATTTACATTACGACTCAGTCGAACATAATTTACTTCAGCTTCTAAGAAACAATAAATTTGCAAAATACTTCAAAAGAGTAATAAAGGTTGTTAGAATGTGTAACAACTCACAAAAGCAACCCAAAAAAAAAAAAAACATTCTCTGTGTTCTATTTTAGTCTTTAATTTGTATCCACATCTTGCTCTTATTGCTTTTAATTGCTCCAAATAAAATTTTCTTGGTTGAATATTAGTGTCTTAATCTTCTTAAAAGAGTATTAATTTTTTCAAAGAATATTAATTCAGTAGAATTTCAGTTTGGAGAAAAAGACAAAAAGAAAAGATACTTTGATGAAGAAGATTACAGTTCAGAGTGTCTAGAGATCATAGCAAAAACCCAAAGGTGGCTTTCTAAAACCTTTACAATATCTAAAGAGCATGTAAAATATATTTTATGGCGCATTTGTTTATTTTTTCTGGTAAACTTAGTTGTCACAAAGCTAATAATAAAAAAATAATAATAATTTGCAACATCGGCGGATGCATATTTACACTGGTCCAAGTAATCGCCTATTTTTTTTTCACAAAAGTTATATGTAAAATAAAAATAATTTGGATTAGGCAATATTTTTATGAAAACAAATAATAATTCAAAGAATAATTTACTTGGCTTCAACATTCACTTTCTGTTTGTTACTATTAATGGAGATAGCAACCGTACCCTATATTTGTGCAACTCTATTTTTAAAAATTATTGATTTGGTAGCCAGCTGACAAAAAATCCGTAATAGTATGACAATTATTACCCTTGACAATAAATTAAATCGCGTGATCTGCAACTTCATTCGTGAAAAAAGATCTCCTCCTCTCCTTTCAGCAGCTTTATCAAAAAGATCAGAAACTTGAACCAGATTTTCACGTTGAAGCTAAAACTTCATGCTAAATATAGCATGAAGTTGTTTCACATTGAAGCTAGAACTTCATGCTAATATAGCATGAAATTGTTTCACATTAAAGCTAAAACTTCATGCTGAGGTTATTTATCATGAAGTCTACAATTTTGTCATCAGTTTTATCCGAAACAGCAGTCTAAACATGCTGAAGTTTTTTAGTTCATTTGCTAAAACTTCAATCTAAACATGCTGAAGTTTATGTCTCGCAATCAGAGGCGGATCCAGGAATTGAATATGACGGGGGCACCATTGCTATTAGAGTGACTTACCCAAAATTGTATTAGCCAATAAAATAATATATATATATATATATATATATATATATATATATATATATATACACACACACACACACACACACACACTCTAGGATAGATCAGTAAAAGCAGCATAATCCACTATATATAATATAAACTTGCTAAGCCCAAAAAAAAAAGGCAAAATAGCCTCCGAGCCACCTAAACTTGCACTTGTTTGTTAACCCGGTAAATAAACTTAAATTTTCCCATTTGAACACCCCAACTTGATAAAAAAGCAAATATTAAACACCTCCGGTTGAGCGTGTCTCTCAAACGCCGTGACATGGCTGACATATCATATTCTAAGCCTATTATTATTTGACATGTATGATTAGTGGGTCCAAACTTATTTTCACCAATTTATCAAAAATTCTACAAAATAAATCTCTTTTTCTTCTTCTTCTTCACCGGAGCAACCGCCAATACCATTAATCTTCCAAAAACACCATCCTTCTCCACTCTAAAGTATTAAATCAATACATAAGCAAAGTCAAAATTTTAACTTATTTTCACTCTCTTCCTTTTCACCTTTTTTCTTCAGTTTCATAGTCACTCGTATCACCATGCCTGCTACCTATCTCGTCGGAATTTCTGTAAATTGTAACAAGTTTCTCTTATTACTTTTTGTTTAGCAAAATATTAAAAATTTGTATCATATTCCCTTCAAATAGGGATTTCGTAACCTTGTAAATTGGATTTCATCCATCTGAACTTTTTCCGGTGCTAGCGAGCCTGCCGGACAGAATATGGACTTGGGCAGATTCGAAACCTTCCTTACCTAGGTCATTTGTGGTATAAAGTCACTTGACTGATTCGCTAGCAAGCTTGCCGTATTGATCTGACCAACCCCTGATTTCTTTCTTCAATTTCACAATCGCCATCGTCTCTAACCCGTCCATCTATGTTGTCGAACTACCTGAATCTTGTAGAAAAAATGAGCTCTTGATATAAATAGCTGGGAGTGATATTTGGGATTGCAAAGAAAATTGTGACGTCTAAGGTGGATTTTGAAGAAATTAACAGTGGGGGAACGGTGGAGAAGGCAGTGCTGAAGTGATGGGGGTTTGGAGAAGATGGGAGAGTGCGTGGGGTGGATTTCCAATTTCTTTTTCATATTTTAGAATTGTTGTACCCAATTAAATTATACTCACGCGCCTAAATAGGGTGAATTGCACACAGTATTGCCACATCGCAAATGTGGTTGCCACATAAGCATAGTCAACGGTCAAAGTGACTTATTGATGTGTAAGTAATCAAGTTGAGGTGTTCAAATGAAAAAGTTCTAAGTTTGTTTACCGTGATGAAAAATGGACGCAAGTTTAAGTGGCCAGGAGACCATTTTGCCAAAAAAAAAAAAAAAACATAAAGTAAGAAGAGCTTACACTTCAATTTCATCAGACTTCCCAATTGAACTGCAAACGCAAATTTTAAAATAAGCTTTCCAATAAATAAAAAATATTTTTTCTGCACATCCTTACGCACACTTGGACTAAACTAGAATAAACTTTAAAATATAAAACTAGCTTAGTGGCCTTAATAGCAATTCGCAACATACAATAATATCTACGTTTTTCCCAGAAAGAAAATTAAAGAAGGCATAACTTACATCAAAATACAAACTTCAATGTTATAGAATACCTAGTTTGATACTAATGTTACCTATACACTATATTCCAAAAGTTAATCACATTATCGACAGTGAAATTTTTTAAAGAGTTATCTAATTTTCAAACATGTTGTAAATTAAAATCCATAAAAAGAATATAGCCCATAAATCAAGAGACCACTCAATTTCAGAGAAAATGGGAGCTCAACCTAAACAATATCATTTGGATAATTGATTTGGGGTCTACCAAGAATGTCTTCACTAGCTATTGTTGAACCAAAAATTTGAAAGCTAAATAAAATCATATAACCTCCATCTCCGATTCTTCATGCTCTTATAAATAAAAAATAAGTTTCAAACTAAGAGAAGCACTAACGAGAGATTTGGTCCATGCTATTTTTTCAAAGTAATGAGAAGAATTGAGGAAGAAGGGCTTTATTTTGGAGTGAGGAGCAACCGGTTTGGGTTTTGGCCTTTTGGGGCTAGGATTTTGTATTAGAATAAAATAATAGAGTTGACAATTATGTATAACTATTACAATATAATTAAATTCAGAAAAGGAAAAATAAAAAATATAAATTAGTCCACTTTTCACTACTCGTTCATAAATGTCACTATTGTACGGTAGTACTAGTACATAATTCTCGTCGTAAGAAATAAACAAGTTAATGCATGACACTGGTTTCGAACCCGGGTCGTCAAGTAGGGGAAGGAACCCATGCAACACACATGACCAACGCTCCAGCCCGCCTTTTATTATTGAGGGGGCCAAAAGAAATATTTAAGGGGTCCCAAAGTATGTATGTATGTATATATATATATAGGGTTTTTGCCGAGGCTAACGGGTTCCCGTGACCCCCCAAGTCCCTGTGTAGGTCCGCCTTTACTTGCAATATGTAATATTCTAATGAGTTTTTGCTAATGCATGCTAAAGTTATTTAGTTCATTTGCTAAAACTTCATACCAAAACTTGGTGAAGTTTTGTCCTGTAGTTTACAGTATTGTCATGAGTTTTATCGAAAACTTCAGCCTAAACAAGCTGAAGTTTTTTAGTTCATTTGCTAAAACTTCAGACTAAACATGCTTAAGTTTTTGTCTAGCATTATGTAATTTTCTAAGGAGTTTTTGCTAATGCATGCTGAAGTTATTTAGTTCATTTGCTAAAACTCATATCAAAACATGCTGAAGTTTTGTCCTGCAGTCTATAGTTTTGTCAATAGTCTTTTATTAAAGAAGGGCAAAATCGTCTTTTTAAAACTCTTTTAACAAAAAAACGGGTACCGATGCAAATGGAAAAATAAAACGGGTACAACTTAAAAAAGGGCGACCAAATAGGGCGCCTCATGCAATTTTTAGCTATTAATGCACTATTAGTGGCGACCTATCATAGTCGCCACCAAAGGTAATACTAGCCTCTCGAATTGGCAACTGACCTAAAATTAAGGTTTTTGGCGCCGCCTTTTAGGGCGAACTTTTTAGTCTCCACAAAAGGTGTACGACGTCTTTGGCAGTAGCAACTAGCTTAAGGTTTTTGGCGACTCCTTTCGCATTGGTGACGCACCTTAAGGTTTTTGGTGACGCCGTTTACTGGCGACCCCTTGAGTCGCCACCAAATGTATTATGATAGGACGCTTTTTCATTAGCGACCAACCTAAAGGTTTTTGTGACGCCGTTCGTATTGGCGACCCACCTCATGTTATTTGGTAAAGCCTTTCAGTGGCAAGAGTTGGGTTGAGTATTATAATGTTTAGTTCTTCGTAATAGTGACTTACCTAAATTTTTTTTGTTATTTATTTATTATGGAAAGTTTTAGTCGCCAAAAAACTAATAATAACAATTCAATAAGGGCGAATACACATTTTCATTGGTCCAAACCTTAACGGAAAACTTTCACAAAAATTATATGTAAAATAAAAATAAAAATAAAAATAGTTCTGATTGAGAAATATTTTTTAGGAAAAAATAATAATTTAAAGAATAATTTACTTGATTTCAATTTTCAACGACTTACTTTCATGTTTGTACCTATTGAAGCACTAAAGAAAGTAAAGCTTGTTTCAACATTCGTGGCGACCTTGTTAATCGCCACAAATGGTAAAGTTCTATTGTGCTCTTTGTGGCAACCAACCTAAAATTAAGGTTTTTAATGATGCCTTTCTGTGGCGACCTCTAGATTCACCACCAAAGTACTGCTATATTTAGCCCGAGTTCAACATAATTAATGAGTGGTAATATCAGATCTCATATTTTGTCTATATAGAACACTGATGTTGGAGATTCTCCTGAAGTCTGAGTTCCTTTAAATTCTATTTAAAATTTCTTTTTACAATCTTACAATTTTCTTAAAACCAAGTTGCAATTTGACAAATTTAAATTCGGTTTCAGCTATTTATCAACTCGAAATATTATTTGGTTCCAACGATCTCATTCGAGTACCACGACTTGATAATTTCTAAATCGAATTTAACTTTTTCTTAAATTCTTTTTCCATTACATATGAGATTAGGGAAGGAAATAGTGGGAATCGAACTCACAATTATTGTGTAGAAATTCTCACCGGTACTATTAAACTATATGTATTGATGGTAAATAGGTTTGAATTATATATATTGATCGCAAAATTTTCTTATACGAGCAGATGTATTTTAACCTATGGTATCAAATTATTTGTCTTGTTTCTAGTTAACTAATCTCACTTTTATAAGTGTTTATTTATAATTAGTTATTTTTTAAGTAACAAAACAGTACTGTCAATGTATAGAAGTTATACTCCTCTAAATATCATAGCAACAAAACATTGATCATATGATAAAGCAAAGTAAAATACATTAGACTTAAAAATACCCCTAAAACCAATAGAAGTTCTTTAGGTGGATCACTATTAGCATCTCAACTCTGAATTTTCAAATCATGCTAGGTGTTCGACAAATGTCAAGTAGAGGCAGAGCTAATAATTTTCTAGCTCCGCCCCCATTTTCAAGTAGAGGCGGAGCTAATAATCTTCTAGCTCCGCCCCTGTGTTCAAGGTGACGAGCCAATGTCACTACCAAGTTCAGCGCCGCCAACTCCTCCATCAAGGCCGCCATTGCCACCACCAAAGCCAGTGTTTGCACTAATTGGTCCAATACTTCGTCTGAATCCCCCACCAATTCCGACTCCAAATTGACCTTCGATTCCTTCACCACTTGGTCCTGCCTCAAAACCCAACCTCCCCCCTATTCCAACACTAGCACCCCCACCAATTTCTCCTCCTAGACCAATCCCACCACCAATGGCACTTCCTGTTAGAAAAGAATAAATAGAATCAAAGAAAGGCTTCGAGGCGTGAAATCAATATTCTTAAAAGTATATTGTTCGTATATTGGTTTGAAAAATACAAGCAAGTCGCTTCAGGAATATTCAAGAAACCCTATGTGTATACTCCCAGTGGCGCACCCACATGTAAGCAGGGCGGATGCGCAGCGATGTCGAGTTCATCCGAACCCAATACTTTCGACACGGAGCATAAATTCATGTATAAAAATTATTTAAAATAGGAACAAAAAGTAGATATTAACCCATAACTTTAACAGTATAATGAGTTCAATACTTAAATTTTTAGAGGTTGAATCCATAAAATTCAAATTCTGAATCGGCCTATGCATGTAAGGAAGGAAATTCATCCAAATTATACGGGTATAATTATTAATATATATTTTTTTTTTGTATATGTAGACACAACCTTTGAATCCCTTGAAATAAAATATAAAATACTTTGTGTAGCGGTAAAAGTGGTTCAAAAATATCAAATATAGCATTTTTGTTATTTTTGAATCCTATAATTACTATATATTTTTTTTAAAATTCAAATGACAAAATATTCTGTTAAAGAAACAAAATATAAATAAAACCACACTTTCACACAAATCCAAGGCGGAGCTACAGTATTACGTACGGGCTCGAACGACAGTAGTTTTGTTTAGATCCTGTATTTGTATTAGTAAATGTATTAAATATGTATAAATATTTAGTTACAGACTCAATAATTAACACGAGCTATAAATTCGATAACAATTTCAGAATTCATAAACTTCAAATCTTAAGTCCACCCCGCTACAAATATAAACAAATTGCAATTACATTACCTGGTGCAACCAATCCACCACCATTGTCTTCATAATCATTAGACATATTTGCATCCTTAATAGAAACTTTTGATAATTTTCTTGCACTTATGCTGCCAATTAAATCTCCAATTAAGAGTATAAAAAGCAGAGACAGAATTTTAGTAAACATTTCCAAGTATATGCATAAAGTTTTTCAAGCCTAAAGTATATATGAAATGCTAGTTTTGCTGAGAAGTGAAGAACTGAATAGAAGGGATTATATAGATAATTTCCTTCCAATAATAATTAAGTCAACAGCCCAACTGTTACGTTGAGTATAATGTTAATGATCAAAATAGTTCATGACTTTCACATATGCTTCTGAAAATTATGCATTTTGGAAAAGTATTTAAGTTATATACACGGATAGTATAAGATTCTTTTACAATATTAGTGAATTTTTACCTGTAATAGTAGGTTAGTCGTCATTTTTATCAGATAATCAATTAATATATATAGTTTTGAAGTGCCTTAGACAACGGTAAAGTTATTTTCATGTGACATATAGGTCAGTGGTTCAAACCATGGAATCAGATACTTGCACCAGGGTAGGTTGCCTACATTACACTCATTGGGTTGCGGCCCTTCTCTGGATCCTGCATGAATGTAAAATACGTTGTGCATCGGACTGCCCTTAGTAATGTATAATAGTCCCTCATTTCACTTTTACTTGTCCACTATACTAAAAATACATTTTCACTTCTACTTATTCACTATACTAAATCAAGAGAAAGACAGATTTTTGTTTTCTTATCTTACCCTAATTATCATTAAATACTTATTCTCAAATTATTTTCCAAGACCTTTTGAGATACTATCATTGTTAGGAGTTATATGGTATAATATATTACACTTATTATTTTTTAATGGACGTAAAAATTAGTCCAATATGGACAAATAAAAGTGAAGGACAAAAGTACTTATCAAGACATTTTTACCTATAATTATCCAATAAATGACGTAACTTTCTTTTTTGGTGCCTGAACTTAAATTCTTTGGAAAATGGTGTTTATTACGTGCATGTTAAAGAACTCTCTCTAACTGTATTATATGAAAATGAGAATTGACTCTCCTGAAACCAAAGTTGAGGACCATTTAATTTCTTAGGGAGAAGGAAAATGATTCATTATCAACTAACTGCATATAAAAGTTTAATGGAAAGTTTACGCGACACATCAAATATATATACTGTATTCATCATTCGTAACTATACTTTTAAAAAAATTACCATTCGTAGTTGTATTTGAATTTTATAGCAAATCCACCTATAGTACTGAAACAAAAGATCAATTCTCTTGAACTAAAACAAGAGAGCAACAGATTAGTTGGTTAAAGCACCAAATTAGTAAGTAGAGGTCTTGAGTTTGATTCTTAACAAGAGCATTTTATTTTTTGTATTTTTGTATTTTGCTTTGGTTGTATTTGTTGCGTGAACGAATACAGTTGATACATGTTGTATATATATTTTGTATTGTGCGAACAAATACAACTGAACAACAGTTACGAATCGTAATTAGACAAACTGTAGTTACTTATAATAATTATGCTCTAAATTGTAGTGTTTTATGAAAATTCTTCAAGTTTAATTTCATCGGCCCATTGAACGGCTATAGTTTCAATGAATTTTGGGGTAACTTTCTTGCAGTTGCAAGGTTGGTGTGGCCTTGGGGAGTGTTGAATTAACCGGGGAGAAGCTATGTATAGTCAAGGGTGGTCAACTGAACACCTTTCGCCGTAAATTATACTATGTATAGGGTAAAATATTACTCCCTCCGGTCCAAAATAAGTGATTTTTTGGATGTTTTCACACGAATTGAGAAATCCACCTTTTAGCATTAATTAACAATGAAATTGACCATATTAACCTTTACTATCTCACATAAACACTCCTAACACATATTCCAACACCATTTACTTCAAGGACAATGTAGGAAAAAATAATTAATTCATTCTTGAAATCTGGAAAAATCACTTATTTTGGCCACAAGAAAAAGGCCAAAAAATCACTTATTTTGGACCGGAAGGAGTACTTGTTATTAATTAAAAAAACATGCTTGAATACCTTTGCATAGCCCACTGGCAAAAGATGTTCAAAATTTGAACACTTCTATTAAATTTCCTAGCTTCGCTACTGATTGAATAGCAACAAAATCTTACTTTGAGCTTCACATAACTGGCACAAGTTGTATGGATTTGTCTATAATGTTTGACAGCTAAAATAAGTAGATCCAAAATCTTGGATGTAATGTAAATTTGGGTCAAGTTCTACTTGCAAGCGTGCATAGAGTAAATTTTAGCTTAGTGTTACGTTAAAATATAAAATATTCATATTCAAACAACAAAGCGGGGATAGCTCAGTTGGGAGAGCGTCAGACTGAAGATCTGAAGGTCACGTGTTCGATCCACGTTCACCGCATTTTTCTTCTTTTCAACTTTTCATTTATTTACCAGACTATGAAATTGAATTATCGGGCTGACAACATGGAGCTATAAGTCTGTGTGGTCCACTGCAGCACAAGAAAATAATATTTTTTAAAATTTTAATGTATATCACATATTGTGTCGAGAAATATGAATTTGATTAACCTAATAAATTACATCCGCCATTAGAATTACACAACATTGGAAGTTCCAAGTTGCCGCCCAGGAAGATGGTATACATGTCGGGGCCGCACTACAATAAGGTATGATATAAGCAGTTTCACCTTAATATTGAATTAACGTCTCGAACTCCTATAACTCAAAGAAACAACTTTATTGTTGTTCCAAGCTCCCTTCATTCATTCGTGATGGTTAGCGACTACAATAAAAACTGTCTAATTATGATTATGAATAATGAATAGAACGTCGAATTCACATAACTGATACTCCAGAAGCCAAAGCTGTTTAATACTTGGAGAAAGTATATAGTATATACTATCTACAATTTAAAGTCGAAAGAAAAAATTGGCTAATTCCAAAATCTTAGACATATTTTACATAAAGAATATATGATGTATATTGGTATATACAGTGAAAGGAAATTGCACTTGAAATGAATATCGAACCCGAATTTCGTAAGAAACGTGTGATATATAGGAAGTAACAATTTGATGCGAATGTTTATAATGAAATCTCAAAATCTTTCGAAGAGTCTTTTAAAGTTGATTACTTTTATACATAACAGACAATGCTTTTTTTTCACTTCAAAATAGATTTGAACAATTCGAAGCGTATGCAAATATTTTTGATTTTCTATTTGGCAGTAAAAACTAAGATCACTAGATGTTGGAAATTTGAAAAAATATTACCTTAATCTTGAATGTTCCTTAAAGCATAATAATCAATTCGATATTGATGGTTCAGATTTATTTTCTGAATTAAAAGTATTAAGAAAAATAGTACAATTAGAAGATAACAGTTTAACTGATACACCTAATCAAATAAAAAGATATAATTCTTTTCCAAATGCCTAAATTGCTTATGGAATAATGTTCATAACTCATGTTACCGTTGCTTCAGCGGAAAGGAGTTTTCAAAACTAAATTAATAAAATCTTACCTAAGAACAACAATGTCACAAGAAAGGTTAAATTAATTAGCTATATTGTCAATTAGAAATACTTATTAGGAGTTATTGATTATAAGAAAATTATTAATAACTTTGTATCTAAGAAAAGCAAAAAAATAAAAATAAACTTCAAATAAATAATTAAAAAAATTAAAAAGTTAAGGCCCCTCATTAAGTTGGCTTTAGGCCACAAAATTCGGCGGGCCGCCCCCGCAAACATTGATCACATGATAAAGCAAAGTAACATACGTTACACTTAAAAAGACCCCTAAAACCAAAAGAAGTTCTTTAGGTGGATCACTATTAGCATCTCAACTCTGAATTTTCAAGTCATGCATGTTAGGTGTTCGACAAATGTTCAAGTAGAGGTGGAGCTAATAACCTTCTAGCTCCGCCCCTGTGTTCAAGGTGATGAGCCAATGTCACTGCCAAGTCCAGTGCCGCAAGAGGCGGAGCTAGGATTTGGAGTGTGTGGGTTCTAAAATTTAAAATAAGACTATGACCTAAAACTAATATACAATATCAAACTGACTAAAGAATGAGTATCGACATTTAATATATATTTAAAAAGTAACGAAAGACAAACACAATATATGAATATAAACATTATCATTTCAATTGCACTCGACGAGTTGTCATGTTTTGAAAATGATCAATGATCGCATCATTAGATACACTTTCAAATACTTCATCCTCTATAAAACAAACTAAACAATCATTCAAAAAGTCATCACCAATCCTGCTTCGCAAATCATTTTTAATAAACTTCATTGAAGAAAAAGCCCTTTCAACCGTTGCAGTAGCCACAGGTAATATCAAACTCAGCTTCACAAGCAAATAAATAAGTCCCCATGTCTTGTGAATATTTATTTTAACCAATGTCTTCGACAGATCACCAAGACCTTTCAACTTAGAGAATGCATTTTCCATTTCTCGCACATAGTCAATATATTTGTCAAGCTCAAAACTAAGATCTTCAAGCTTAGAAGCAGTGAACTCATTTGGATAATATGTAGCAAGTTTCATAATCTTGTTTTTATCATAATTCGCAAAAGAATCATCAGGACTCAAACTAGCCATACCAAGAAGCAGAGCAGTATTCACTTCACTAAAACGACTGTTAAGCTACGAAAGTTGCAAATCAATAGCAGCACAAAAAACCTCTATGTACAAATGATGGGAATATGTAACAGTTGAGCTTTAACGCTTCGACTTTCCAAGTGCATACTTCTCATCCATTTTTGGGATTACAATACCATTCTTATCACAAAACGAAGAGACATCTTCTATCAAAGGACTCCATTTAGATTCTCTCATTGTTTGCAATTGCCTCTTTGTGAAATCAACAAGTTTCATTGCACTAACAATATCTTGATCTTTTTTTTGTAGGGCCATATTCAAATCATATGTAATTGCCAATAGTTTTAACATCAAATGTAATATACAAACGAACTCATAAGATCTTATATCTTCCACTAGACTTTTGGCTAATGCTTTCTCCTGATAATTTGAACCCTCATTTGCAAGAACTCCAAGTATATGAACAATCGATGAGAATAAAGAAATAAAGTTACGCAATGTCTTAAAGTGAGATCCCCAACGGGTATCACTTGGTCTTTGAAGCCCAAGTTCTTGATTTAATCCACTTCCTATATGAACTTCACCAAGCACTAATAACTCATCTAATTTTTCAGCTTGATCATCTCTAAGCATCTCCCTATGCTTATAAGAACCTCCAACAACATTCAAAACATTAGCAAGAGTGTCAAAAAAATTATTTACATCATGGTGTTTCTTTGCAATAGCTACAAGAGTCAATTGCAACTGATGAGCAAAGCAATGTATGCAATGTGCCGAAGGATTATCTTTCAGAATCAAAGTTTTAAGACCATTGATGTTTCCTTGCATGTTACTAGCTCCATCATACCCTTGTTCCCGTATTAGAGATGAACTCAATGAATGTTGTAAAAGCAAAGAATATATTTCTTTATGTAATGCATGTGCAGTTGTACCTTTAACATGAACAAGACCAAGGAATCTCTCAATAAGTTCACCCTCTTTATTGACATAACGCAGAACAAGAGCCATTTGTTCCTTATGAGAGACATCCTTTGTAACACCCCATAAATTTGGCTTAGGTATGAATGAGCTAAAGGAGTATTAAGGTTATATGTTGGACATGTGAAGTCCCTTCGGGATGATTATGGGTGAAAATAGTTGTTTCAAAATCAAGATCGAAAGTGAGGTGCATAAGATTCGACAAAATCGACTAAGTTTGCAGAAGGTCTGTCTTCCAGCAGGGTTTAGTAAAAATGTATAAGGAACTTAGGAAAACTCAAAGCATAAAAGTTGTAGGCCTTTAAAATATCTTTCCAACGATATATTTTGGAGCCCAAACGGAGCTCTGTGAAAAACGTTATGCCCGTGTTATAGAATAGTGCGCAACCACCGCGCCTGGACCGCGACCGTGGTCGTGAGGCAGTGTTCCTGCTTTTACCGCGGTCGGGCCGCGGTCAGGCCTACAGGGGCGTGGTGGCGGACATGGAGAGTCATTTTTTAAGCCATATTTCGTCCCCCACAGCCCCAAAACATAAAAACTTGCTCTAGAAAGGAAAGCTCTCAAAAACCTAACTCCTTAAGGGTCCCTCCACCCAAGGTAAGTTCTAATGGTGATTCTAAGTTAATTTAAATTTTCCAACATATTATTAACATGGGTAAACCCTCCATATCATTAGATATTCGATTGGGACATCATTGATGAGAGAAGGAACCCTAGAACTCGAATTCAAGGGGATTGAACTTCAAAAAGGTAATGTCTTCACCCTCTAATTGATTCTAGCATTGGATTAATAATTATAGACTCTAGCTCATGACATATGAGTTGATGGGTTTGATTGAAAAGTATGAACGATTATAGATTTTGGGTATTGATTGTTAATTATTGGTTAAAGGTGTTGTTACCTTATGGGTGACAAAGAATAATGTTGATTATAACCATTTGAGACTTTAGAATTTATCTAAGAGCAAGAAAAGGGGTTATTGGGTTTAGAGACGCCATTAATGACTATGAAGCTTTATTCTCACCAAGTGTTTGATAAGATGCTTAAGTGACAAAAACATGAGTATCATAGCTATATGGAATCCCTTTGACTTGTATTGCTATAGATTAAAGTTGAAAAGATTGACAAATGTTGTATTACGCTCAAGAGCAGGAAGTTAAGGTATGTGAGTTTAACTCTCTATGTTTGGGAATGTTAATGATTCCCCCTACACTATGTTCTTTTACCACGTTATCAATTGCCTCAGAAATATAGTTAAGCCTAGTTCCTTGAATAGTTGTAGAACTTCTATTCTCTAGCTTTATCACTCGTTCATGACTTTCATCCTGAACGTTGTGAGCTTAGTTCGTATTCTATATAGACTTGGGTTTGATGTCCCTGAGTCTCAGTATAGCTTACTCAGCATGTCATAAAAAGTTGAAGTTTCAGTGTTCATAATCAGTTCAAGAATACATGTCTCAATCTAATCCTATTCAGTATTCCAGTATTATGTAACCCAGTGTGATCCAGTATTCTAGTATCATGTAACTCAGTATGATTCTCAGTTCCTGATNTTTGGGCCTGAGGCCGCAGTTAATGCTTTATGCATCTTTGAGCCTGAGGCCGCAGTTTATGCTTTATGCATTTTTGGGCCTGAGGCCGCAGTTATGTATACGTATACTTGGGCCCGAGGCCGCAGTTGTGCACACACATATATATATATATATATATATATATATATATATATATATATATATATATATATATATCTGAAGCCACGTTTTAATATTCAGATAAACATGTTGTTCATCATTCAGAAGAGGGAGTATTCATAACCTTACTTCCTATGTTTAGTTCAGTTATCAGTTTTCAGTTTCGGTTACAGTATTTACAATTCTTTCCTTTAGTTGTTTTACATACCAGTGCAATTCAAATGTACTAACGTCCCTTTTTGCCCGGGCCTGCATCTCGCGATGCAGGTAACGGTTTACAGGTTGACGATTCTGCTTGCTAGGACATCTCGTATCAGCTATTGGTGAGCCCCAGTCTTTCGGGGCATTACCCCTCCCTTTTTCAGTCATTATAGTATTTCCGTTAATAAGGTATACCGGGGACCTTGTCCCGGTAAACAGTTAGCATTTTCAGTATTCTTTAGAGGCTTCGTAAATTATAACCCTGTCAGTCAGATATTAGCAGGCTTTCAGGTGTTAGCCTTGTCGGCTACTTGTTTATACTTGCAGACCTTTCAGTATTTTTCGCATCTATGATAATTCAGTCAGACTCTTTAGTTGATTATCATGTTTTATATTTACCTCTAGCTCATAGTTATACCACATGTTGATCCAACCATACAGTTGGTTCTCTCGGTCATATGCAGTCAGGCACCGAGTGTCGTGTTACGCCCAGACCATGGTTCGGGGCGTGACAAAGCTTCATATCAGAGCCCTAGGTTCAAGAGTCCTAGGGAGTCTATGAAGCCGTGTCCAGTGGGGTCACTTTTATGTGTGTGTGTGCGCGCCACACGTGTAAACAGTTGACCATCACGACATTTAGGATTATTCCATTTCTTTCATACTCTAGATCGTGCAGTTAGAGCTATGCTTTCAGGAATCTTTCTAACTCGTGCGAATTGCGGATTTCAGAAAAATGCCTGCAAAAAAGAAAGTACACCAGGAGGGCCTTAGCTACTAGCCAGGGGGCCACGACTAATGCTGCTCAAGAGGAGGACACTCCGGCCTAGAGGGTTGCATTGGGCTCAATGCCCAGTGCTTCAGACATGGATGTCAGGGAAGCTATCCAGTTGCTCACCCAGATTGTTGCTACTCAGGCTCAAAGGCAGGGAACAAGTGATGTTCATGAGACGGGTAGTTCCAGGTCTAGGGAATTCCTCAACATGAGACCTCCCGTCTTCATAGGGTCCAAAAAGGATGAGGATCCGCAAAACTTCATTAATGAGGTTCAGAAGATATTTCGAGTGATGCATGCTACAGACACTGAAGCAGCGGAGCTTGCTGCGTACCAGCTGAAGGATGTTGCCAACACTTGGTATGAAACATGGGAAGAGTCCCGAGGGGAGGATGCGGCTCCTGCGACTTGGAAGGAGTTTGCAGATGCGTTCCTTGAGCATTTTCTACCCATTGAGGTCTTGGAAGCTAAGGTTTTGGAGTTTGAGAGACTCAGAAAAAATGATATGAGTGTGAATGAGTACTACCTCAAGTTCGTCTCTCTGGCCAAGTATGCTCCGTAAATGGTACGTGATATGAGGGCCAGAGTTAGGCGGTTTGTGTTGGGACTTTCAGACGATTTGTTTGCTGATGCTAATATAGTTGTTCAGAATAATGACATGACTATCACTAAGATGGTTGCCTTTGTTCAAGGGAACGAAGACAGGTTGAAGGAAGAAGAGCAGCTACAGAAAGAGAAAGATAGGGAATTCAACAAGAGAGCTAAGTCTGTGGGAAATTTCAGCCATGGGGAATCTCAAGTAGGAGGCAATCGCCAGTTCTTCAAGAAATCAAAATCAGGACCCGCTCCATCTTCAGCTAGTGCACCGGTTCAGAGGTCCAAGTTTAACAAGAAAAACCAAAATTTTAGAGCAGCAGGCTCACAATAACAGGCTAGTATGGGCTACAGAGTCCCTGGTTACCCTATTTGCAACACGTGTGGTAAGAGGCACCCAGGGTTGTGTCGTTCGGGCACAAATAGTTGCTTTGGGTGCGGTCAGCAGGGCCACTTCTTGAGGGATTGTCCATCGGCAAAGCAGAACAATGGAGGCAATGTAGCTCAATCGCTAATTCAGCAGCCCATCATAACTCTCAGGCCCAACAAGGGCGCGGTGCAGCAAAGTCTAGTAATGCAGGCGGTGGTCAAAACCGCTTGTATGCACTGGCAGGCCGTCCGAATACAGAGGCCCGTGGAGATGTTGTCACAGGTATGCTAACAATATTCACTTTTGATGTCTATGCTCTTATAGATCCGGGATCTACCCTATCTTATGTAACCCCATATATTGCTAAGAAATTTGGGATAGAACCAGAAAAGTTGTGTGAAGCCTTTGAAGTCTCCACTCCAATTGGAGAATCAGTTATAGCAAGGTGTACCTATAGGGGATGTCCAGTCAAAGTGTATCATTATCTTACTGTAGCAGACTTAGTAGAATTGGAGATGGTAGACTTCGATGTGATCATGGGCATAGATTGGTTAGAGTCCTGTTATGCCACAGTGGGTTGTAGAACCAAGATAGTAAGTTTTGAATTTTTCGGTGAACCAGTTTTAGAATGGAAGGATGATGTAGTAACACCTAGGGGTAGGTTTATTTCCTATCTTAAAGCCAGAAAGATGATCTCCAAAGGATATATCTATTACCTGGTTCGAGTTAAGGATGTAGATGCTCAAATTCCCACTCTCCAGTCGGTACCAATTGTAAATGAGTTCTCGGAAGTGTTTCCCGAATATCTCCCTAGAATCCTTCCCGATAGAGAGATTGACTTTGGAATTGATCTACTCCCAGGCACTAAGCCAATATCTGTCCCGCCTTATAGAATGGCTCCAGCAGAGTTGAAAGAGTTAAAAGTACAGTTGAAAGATCTTCTAGATAAGGGATTTATAAGGCCAAGTGTTTCACCTTGGGGCGCACCGGTCTTGTTTGTCCGAAAGAAGGATGGGTCTTTGCGCATGTGCATTGACTATCGTCAGTTGAATAAAGTCACCATCAAGAACAAGTACCCTCTTCCCAGAATAGATGATTTATTTGATCAACTTCAAGGTGCTAGTGTTATTCCAAGATTGACCTCAGATCGGGATACCATCAGTTGAAGGTTAAGGAAGTTGATATTCCAAAAACAGCTTTCAGGACTCGATATGGGCATTTCGAATTTTTGGTAATGTCATTCGGTTTAACGAATGCACCAGCAGCTTTCATGGACCTTATGAATATGGTCTTCAAGCCTTATCTTGATTTGTTCGTTATCGTGTTTATTGATGACATCTTGATTTATTCCCGTAGCGAGACTGACCAAGCAGAACATCTCAGAATTGTGTTGCAGACAC